ATAATAAAGAAGATATCACAAGACACATAAGATCCAGTGATCTCAGGTATGTTCCACTTGGAATAACAAAAAGAGAAAAGGATTTAGGATGAATTGGTATTTGATTTCAGGCTGGGAATTTTCCAAAATTTGTGAAGGACATGAAGCTTTAGATTCAAGAAGCCCTGTAAACTCTAGAAAAGATAAATGTACAGAAAACTTACTTAGGCACATCATAGAATAACTTCTGAATACCACAAAGAGAAATATTTAAAAAGAGACAGATGTAATATACCTATTACCTTCAAAGGAATAAAAATAAGACTGAAAACTATTCAACAGAAACCACTGAAGCCAGAAGACTATTAAGGAATATCTTCATACCACTGAAAGAAATTGCTAGGGTAGGTTTCTACATCTAGAAAAAATAAACTTCAAAATAATATAAAAATATTCTCAAGCAAAATCTAAGAGTATCTCACTGGCATACACAATAAAAGAAATAGAAGGATTATTGTTTGTGTAGAAGAAATATTGCATACAAAAAAATTGGATATGCTGGAAGAAAAAAAGAACAACTGAAAACAGTATAATCTAAATGATTATAATCTAATGTCTTGTGGGGTGGTAAATGAATGTCCTTTGAGGTTAAAAATATGCATATTATATGTAATTAAATTACAGTGATACATAGTTTTGGAGAGAGGAAAATGGAATTAATGTATTGTATGCCAGGAAGTGGCAAAAGTAGTGAATTATGTTAAGTAGTGGTGTGTGTTACAATTTATGGGGAAATCAATGAAATAATAATAAAATAATGTATAACTAATAGCTAAAGGGGAGTAGAATGGAATATTAAAAAAATCAATCTTAAAAAAAAGGCAAGAAAGGAGGAAAAGAAATATAGAAAAAGACTGTTGTTGTTGTTATTATATGCTGTCGAGTCAAACCCAACTCATAGCGACCCCTCCTTGGGTTTCCAAGGCAGTATCACTACGGAAGTAGGATTGCCCAACCTTCCTTCCGAGGAGTGGCTGGTGGATTTGAACCACCAGCCGTCTGGTTAGCAGGCAAGTGTCCTTAGCCACTATGCTATCAGAGTTCCCATAGAAAAAGACTAATAGATAACAAATAGGATGGTAGATTAAACCAAAATATATCAGTAAACACACTATAATTGAACAAAACACTTGAAATAAAAGATAAAGAATATCAATACTGGATTTATAAAAAAATCAACTATATGCAATTGACAAGAGATACTCCTTAATAAGGATATGAAAAAACTTAAATGGACAGTATGCAATGCTAATAATAACAAAAGAGCTACAGACAACAAAGATTTAAAGTGAAAAATATTACAAGAGATAGAGACATTCATAATTATGAAACATTCAATTCATCAGGAAAATAAAACATTTGAAAAATATGCATACCTGGAGAGTGCTGAATGTTTACATTAATATTTGTACATGTGCAATAACCCACAAATCTTTCAACTCATTATCAATGTCTGAGCTACAAGATAATTATCTTTCTAGCTAGACTTTGTTTTGGGTATGTCCCAACTGATAGTTTAGTTTTTCTATTTGAAGTCCATTGTATTATTGACACTATGGCCGTTCTCTCTGCACATGACTCTTTTGACTCTGTTGTATGTGGATTTTGAACTCTATTTAAATAATCACTGTCTATTATGATTTTCTGCATACAACAAAATTGCCTATGAGTGGTTTTCCCTGACTTTATTTGCAGTGAGCTAAACTAATGAACTAAAAATAAGTTAGTGTTTTATGTTTTTATAATATATATACAGGAACAGTCTGCTCTTTCATTTTGTGGCTCAAAGGTATCTGAAATTTTAAATATTTGTGAAAATAAATACTTCTCATACTAGAATAAAAAATGTATTCCTAAAATGAGGTCCTAAAATATTTAAAGACCAGAACCAGCAGATGACATGATCTTGTATATAGAAAATCCTAAGGAATTCATGAAAAACTAGTAAACCAAAAAAAACACAAACTCACTGCCATGGAGTTGGATCTGACTCATAGCAACCCCTCCTTAGGTTTCTGAGGTTGTATCACTATGGAGGTAGATTGCCCAGTCTTCCTTCTGAGGAGTGTCTGATGGGTTTGAATTGCCTCTTCTGGTTAGCAGTCAAATGCCTTAGGCACTACACCACCAGAGCTCCTATGGAAAAACTATTAGACCTAATAAATGAATGCAACATGATTGGCTCATTTGTGCACTGATTGATAGATACAGTATACACAAATCAATTGCATTTGTGTGCACTAGTGATGAACATTCTGATTGTAACAACTGGAATGCTCCTTAGAAGTGAAGATGCTGAGACTGTCTTGCTTATTTTGGAAATGTCATCAGGAAAGACCAATCACTAGAAAATGACATCATGTTTGGTAAAACAGAGGGTCAGCAAAAATGAGGGAAACCCTCAATGTGATGGACTGACACAGTGGCCTCCATACTGTTGTTTGTTGTTGTTATGTGCTGTCGAGTCGTACCCAACTCATAGC